TTGACATAGCATGAGCTTAAAGGAAACTGCTAATAGGCTATACAGCCTTTATGGAAAAGCAAATTGAAATTGCTTTCCTGTTTTATGTTTACAATGAAATCTCGGAAGGCAAAGGATTTTCCCTTGTCAAATCCTAGCGAAGCTAGGTCTCCTTGTATTCTAAATTCAGAAAAAACTGGGTCACAGATAATTACAAGACATGTTTGTAAAGATGATTTGCTCATGGGAACTACGTGTAAAAGTGAAAGCAGTTATACCAAAATACATTAAATGAGTGATAATACCCTATCAAATTAAAACAGGAATATAATAAAGTCTCTGAAAGGAAGATCTAAAATAATAGAAAAACTGAGAATGTTAGAATTTATAGCTTAAATATACATACTTCTGGAACTTAGAGGTCAATTTATAGGCTTACAGGTGTTTTACAATATTTTCTTTCACCAGGAAAAAAAACACCAAACCTCTCAAAATTTCAAAGCTCATTTAGAACATGAGAGAATGTTAGTATGATAAATGTATTTTATATTTAAGCTTATTTTATCAGTGCAAGCAGGTATGCTCAGTTGCTTAACATTCCATTTAAATTTTCAAGATTCTGATGGCATTCACAGAATTGATTTTTGCTGCATCTCTAATTTAAATTGCTATCCAAGCATACTCACTGTATACACTGGAGGATGATAATGAATAATTTTATGAACTTTTTACATCCACAGTACATGCATACTGAATATTCAAGGTACCTCTTTAATTAAAAAGGATATATGTGGGACAGCATTTTGTAGCAGGTTAAGCTGCTGCCTGTCTCTCTGGAATCCCACATAAGTGTGGGTTCTTTTCCTGGATGCTCCACCTCTGATCTAGTTCCCTGATAATGGGCCTGGGAAAGCAATAAGAAGACGGCCCAAGTGATTGGGTCCCTTTACCCACCTGGGAGACCCAGATGAACCTTATCACTTTAGTCTGACCCAACCCTAGCCATTGTGGCCATTGAAGGGAGTGAACCAGGAGGTGCAAGCCCTCCCTCTCCAACTCTGCGTTTCAAGTGATTATTTTTTTTTTTAATTTAGATTTTTGTTTGAAATTTTATGGTACAATTTTGTAGAGTCTGGGGTTCCCCCACCCGTCATCTGATTTTCCCCATATCCCTCCATAAAGAGTTATGAATCTTTTTTTAAAGATAATGTAGGCAAGCCTGATTTGATGAACTCTAAAACCAGCACAAACTACATAAAGACCGAAGTTAAATATTAAATATTACGGTAGTTTTGTTTGTAGTTATTACAAAGTAGGATAATTAAGAGCCCACACTGCATTTCCTGTGATTTTAAAAGAGTTAAAAACACATTTAAGAGTATCCCTGTATTTTAACTCAGCTGCAGAAGATTCAAGGAATCTTGGAAGACAATTTAAAGCAAATAAATAAATTAATATTCAAAAAATAATAAACTAAGCATGCCTGTGATGGATAGATATTTGGTCTAGTGGTTAAGACCTCAGTTAAGATGGCAAGTGCCTTTGTTAGAATACCTGGCAGTTCAATACTCAGCTCTGACTCCTGACTGCGGTTTCCTGTTGATGGCAGGCAGCAGCGATGGTAACTGGGTTCCTGCCACTCAGGTGGGAAAACTGGATTCATGTCCTGGTTCCTGGCACTTGCCAGTTCTGGCTGCTTTGGGCATTTAGGGAGTGAATCAATGGATGGCAGCTCTCTTTTTTTCTCCCTATCTCTCAAGCAAGTAAGATTTTTTTTTTAAAATTAACTTTTACTAAATAAGAAAGCATAAAACAAGCTATAGTTTCCAAATTATGTCTACCTATATAAATATATTCACACACATAGGTAACTTAGTTTTGTCTAAACGGTTTACACAATAAAGAAGAGACAGAGTCAAATTGCACGAGTGAAACCACTTTATTTTCATTTTTCCACATAGATAACTTCATGTCAACTACAAAAATCATGAAATAAAGAATTGCTTATGAAACTGCAAACTCAAAAGCACTGGAGGGTAAACAGGTTTGCCCCAGGTGACTGTTAAAAAAGTAACCAGGATACCATGAATTCATATTTAAGTAGTAAATATGTCATATTGAAAAATAATAAATATATAATAGCAGTAGAGAAACTAATAGCATAAACAGCATGAAGTGTATTTTCATGTTTAAGACAGATGAGATTTCTAGGCACAGTTTTAGGCATTAAAGAGGACACAGAGGCATAGGTTAGTATGTGCTGCTCTGTACAAAAATACAGTCTGAATAAATTACATTGCTAGCCATACAATTAGACATCACTTACCAGTCAGTTCATTGCATGTTTAATCATATACAAGTACATGCTAATCCATATATATCATTTATATTTCAAACACATAGGCCTCTCTATATTTATGTCTTTAAAATTTACACATTGAACTTACAAAAGGCTAAATAGTTGTGCAAGAAATCCAAATAACTAGCCCTGCTGAGTACGTTATGCTACATGTAAGTGTGTATATATCTCTAAGATACACAACGGGTTTGTGGTTAACGATTTTGCTTAAGAAAACACCAAACAAACCTAAAGCCTCAAAGACATAATGTTAATGTAGGTGAAAATTTCACTTGTGTTTATTCTGATAGACAAAATACTGTTTCACATGACAAACAATCTTCATATTGTATTGAGCTTGTTAGTAATGAAACACTTCCAAATATTAATGATGAGAGAAACACAGCATAGTTCACTAGGAAGGGAAAAAAGCAATGTAAGAAATCTACTTTTCAGTAAACTGCAAACATATGTGTTTGAATTGATAACATAGTTTGTTATTTTCCAGAAGGTCATATTGACAAGAGAATGAAAACATGATGGGACTCAAGATCTGATATTGGTTTAAGAGCACACTGTATCCTCTATTAGGACCAAGAAAAGTGCCTTATTGATACCCGCACCAAAGTACTGTCCTTCCATTATACGGGAATAAAGCCACCTCACAACAGAGGGTGTTTAATAGCCAAAATCCCCGTCCGAATGTTGTATTTCTCATGCTGCTCTGACCATATACAATTAACTGTAAGACATTCTGCACCAAATACTATTTCTCAATAAAACTGCTTCAAATAATCCTATAATATTAATATGTTTCTGAAAATTTTTAGTCATTTTATTATGATTATAGCATTGTATACTTTTTAAAGGTTTCCCTCTAGGATGAACTTAACCAATCTATAATTGCTAAAGTAAGAATAAACCTGGCACTTCATATTTATTTTGTGATCCAGAAAACGGGAATTTTTTTTATTACTTTAATATATAGTAGTTTCTTTTTGGCTGTTGTTTTTGGCAACTATTGTTAAGACAAGCTGAAAGCAGAATTCTGCTTTTGGAGGTAAAGCAAATTACTAAATACTACTTATAAGGTCCTACTCTTCACATATCAATACAATCGCATATAGGGAAGTTTTAAATGATTTTTCCAATGGTTCTTTCTGCAAGAGGGACAAAACCAGAACATATTTAGCATCTTCGTTAACAAAAATAATTATCTATAACTTTTATATTAGAACTGTATATTTGGTATAAAAATATGTTTATAATTAAACTATCCAAATTTGTATACCAAACAGAATCAACAAAGTTTGCAGTGTGAGATTACTTGCAAACTTATTCCCTATTATTGATACTTCCTTTCACTGGAACAGTCAGTAATGAATCGCTTGACAAGAACCCCTCATAATTGTGTATAAATCAGTTAGCCCATCAGTCAACTTCAGAGGGACAAGTGATATCCAGATGATTTCTAGCCCTCTACGGAGACATTCAGACATTTATAGAAATCTATCACTATTTTATTTAAAAATGAAGACATTTAAAATACTTGCAAAAAATAGCAGCCTTCTATCTTAATGAATTTCACACAAAATGATCATCCTAATTGCTACTCTCTTTTGAACTACCATGCTTACAGAGGAATCATTAATTTTCAGATTAACACCATTTCATTTTTTTCTTCTTAGACAACTCTATTAACACTTTCCAGTGAAACATAGCGCAAAGCTTTAGGGTATACCCATTTTTATGTGGTAAATAAATGTGAATACCAATCTAAGCCCCTTAACAACGAATACAAGGTTAGTGTTCATACCACTTCACTAGAGCAAGTATTAATTTGATGTGTAATAGGCAAATGTATGTATAGAGTTAGAGAACAACAAATTACCATATACTAATGCTTCACTTCCTATAAAAATATGTAAGATCGTTACATATGCACAACTGTAGCTGCAATGTTTGGCAAGTAATTTTAAGGGTACAAAAGCAACTCATGCGTATTTCTTTCTGCTTGCCCCAGGGAAAGCAAGACCCTCAATTCTCTTCCATTCTCGATAGGGCTGAGGAACAATTTCTAACCACATAATGAAAAGCACATGTTTCCACATTTTGACTCCCTTCCCAGGGAGATGCTGACTGCCAAAGCATAACTGCCCATTAAAAAGAGTATTCTAAGGTGGAATGTGTACTATTAACCAGTTATATTCACAACTCCCATTAGATGCTGAAGGGCAGTTCATTTTCAAGAGTTCACTCAAGCAAATAACAAACAGCCAATGTAGTTACTGGATGGGATAAGCAGGCAATAAGGGCTAACAGTGGAATCTTTGTCAGTGCAAAGAAACTTCTAAATGTTGGCTTTTGCCAGCTGTTCCCCTGCAGGCAATGGGACTCAGGCAATTCTCACTCAAACTAGTTTCTCACAATGGTTGCTGTCATATAGACCCTTCACTTGTCAAGAAAAATTACATGAATATATTGGAAGTTTGCAGCATTTGCCTATTTCTAATCAACTCTCTTAATTTGTGCATGTCCCTAAAATGGATGTAAAAGCTGGTTATGATGCTGACAGCTAAAAGGCAAAGGACATTAAATCAACTGAGCAAATTGCTTGATGTTCCACAACTGTTTTAGAAAACTGAGTTAGAAAAGATGCAGATGTAATCCTTTTGCTGACTGGTTGTTTTTCTTTTTTCTTTTTTTTCAAATCTGAGACTATTGGTTCTAGTAGTAGTCTTCATAGTTCTTAGGGTTCAGGCAATAAAGGATGGCACCCCCAAACGAAAATATAGTTGCACCCCACGCCAGACCATAACCCCAATTGAACTCATGGTAAATTTTCAAGCTCACAGTTTCAATGAACTTGATTGGGTAAAGGACCAGGCTGCAAACCTGTAAAACAACTGAGAGAAAAGCAAATCAAAATTAGAAATTGCTGCCTTACAAGAAATAAAATTACAATAAACATATAAACACACATGTCTGAGAACTGCTTTTTAATCAAATAAATATAAAGGCCAAACAGTGCTTATTCTATATGAATTATCAAAATATTAACAATGTTTTTATTTGAAAATTTTCCAATAGAGTGAGAATTAGCCTATTAATACTTAGTAAATTATTAGTAGCATTTGATGAAATAAATAGTGAAATCTAATTCATGGACATACAAAGTAGTAACTCTTAGCTTGCAAACACACACATAATTATCACTGTTTTTTGACAAGTGGTACCATTTAAGCTAAACTGCTTCACTACATAAGACTTGCTAGTAGCACCCCAAGAATGCTGTCTCCACTGCCAATTAAAACCATTGTTATGCATTATGCTCTTGCAGAGCTGGGGAATGGGAATTCATAGAAACTGATCAATTTGTGATGTAACAAGTAGATTTATTGTTGCTGCTCTTTCTCAATAGCATAAAATTCATGCCAATATTCTGGAAAGTTTTACCTTGATCTTTGCTAATTCAAACAACTAAAGAACAATGTAGTTAAGAGAAGCTTATTTTACTGCAAAAATTTTTGAAATCTATGCATATGTGGGTTCTTCAAAAAGCCTATAAAAAACCATCATCTTTTAAAAATAGGTTCAAAAGTTTGTCAGGAAGCCATAACTAATGATACCCTTCCTATTACATCTAAAAGTTGCTTATTTACGTATTTTCCACTTATTTTTTAAAAATGATTTGTTCAGTTGAAAGGCAGATTTTTACAGAGAAGGAGAGATTATGAGAGATAGAGAGATTTTCCATCTGCGGTGTCACTTTCCACATGTCTACAACAGCTAGAGCTGAGCTGATTCAAATCCAGGACCCAGGAGCCAAGGACCTCTTACAAGTCTTCCACGTGGATGCAGGGGCCCAAGAACTTGAGCCACCTTCTCCACTGTTTTCCCAGGTTATAAGTAGGGAGCTGAACTGGAAATGGAGCAGCTGGAATACAAACCAGTGCCCATATATGATGTTGGCACTGCGAATGGGGGATTAGTCTGTCACACCACGGTGCTAGCCTCTCTATTTTTTAAAAAAGAGTTATGTTGATGAATTCATGGGAGATACTGGTGTAGAAACTGTGGATTAACAATGGTTACAAGAGTGCAAAACTATGCTCTTATTTCCTAGTTTGTTCACAATTGGGACTAGGGAGAAATGTGATAAATCACATCTAAAACACACCAATGAAAATAACAAAATGAACTAATTAAGAATGGATGACTAACTCAGCTATACCAATTATCTTCATATTTACCCTGTGGATATTATTATATGGGAGACACTGGATTGCACAAGAGATGAAGTCTTTCACTTAACATTTCTAAATTCCTATCAGGTCAAGTATTACGTAGTTTGTATTTTATTTGAATCATTCCTACAATTAATGGGATGGCTCTGACTCAAATCTCTACTGTGTGACAGCTTCTATTATCTGTAAGAAATAGTCTTATGCCTAAAAATATAATAATAATCTTATGCCTACAGATATATCTGTACCCCTTATTTTATATATTTATTATATATATATATGAGGCTGGCCAACAACAAAATCTGGTCTCCTGCTTCTTTTTTTTTAAAGTAAGATTTACTGGAACACAGCCATAATTTTCATTTATGCACTCTCCACACTATGATGGCAGAGCTGAGTGTGCTGTGACGGAAACCACACGGCCTACAAAGCTGAAAGTATTTACTATCTGGTCCTTTATAAATAAAGTTTGCCAGCAAGAGATATATGGAGTAAATTTTTGGTTTTAAAAAGACTGTTGTTTAACTCATCTTAAAATTAACATAAATTCCTGAAGCGCAAGAAAACAAATGCGAACCATCAAGGAATAGGAGGCAAGAATTTACTCTGATAATATAAAAAGTTTTAATATAGCTTATTAAATATTTTAAAAAGAGTAATAGGAGAGTGTGTTTGATTCAGCTGGAGTTTGATGTTGTTGGAATCTACTCATGCCTATTCTCAGCACCTGTAAAAGATCTTAATTACCGATATGATGAAACTTCCTGCAGAGTCTGGCATCAGGATGATAAACTCACGAGAGCACTGATTCCTAAAAATCAAAACTCATCTCCACAAGGCTTTGTCAAGGGCTCAAGGGATCTCTCTAGAACCAGATATAACAAGCATTCTACAATCTTTGTATGTGCATAGCTCAATACTATTCTAGGCCAGCACTTGCCTGCCATACTTTTCAGTTAATATTGACAGCAGATGAAGAAATAGGCCCATGTAAAAGGACGCTCTCTTGGCATTCAAACAGAAATCAAATCATGGTTGATTCTGAAGCATATGGCTGAACTATATAAAATGTGACTTTGATATAGTAATTTACTTATTTAATAAATTCATTCAATAAATATTTCAATGTTTCTAAAATAATATATTTTAAGACAGTGTTGATAATGAAGGGACTTAAATTGCTACTCACATAAACAGGCAGTTATTAGTAAATAAACACAATATATGGGAAACATTGCTAAGAGACAAGAAAATTCAAGAAAGAGGATAAGGTAAGAATAAGGGCCATGTGGATCAATAGTCAGAGGAGACATCCGAGCAGACATGAATGGACTGGAGGCAAAGGTCAATCTGGTAGGGAGTGAGCATTTCAAGTGAACCCAGGCACTGCAAAACTCCTTTATACAGGTGCACATCTGGTGCATTAGAATATCAGGAAGATCTGTGACCACACAGTACACAGGGCAGGGAGGGGGCGGCACAAGAGAAGCCTCCGAGGAGCCAGCAGAGGCTTGTTCATAGCTCATGTTCACAGACTGCCTGGTGAACCCTAACTAGGGGTCTAGATTTTCTCCCAAGTGTGACAGGCAGCTTTGATAAAGAAGTTGGAAGCAAGAAGTAGTAACCAGCCTGAATCACATTTTAAAAGAATACACTGCTGCTTTTGTGAACTGGCCAGTCCCTATGAGGTAGTTACCTAGGAAGCTTTTTAATCTTCATTTCAATGTGTTTTATTTAGAAAATATTTGGCCTCCACAGTATAATAACTTGATTTTCCTACAGCGTTAAAAGTAAAAATACAACTCAATTAGGCTCCTCTGGCAAACTCTTCTGAACAGCTTTCTTAAACCTTCACTGTGCTGAAGCCAAACGAAAATTACCATAAGTGTTGTACGCTCTCTTCAGAATCATAGAGGGAAAAAAAACAATACATGTAATAGAAAACAAAAATAAGATCTTGGATTTGTAAACAACTTTCTCCATTTAATGAACTACATGCTTACAGGTAAACATACCTCCTTGACTTTTATTGATGTTGCATAGGAGGCAAAAACCCAGTAAGTTCAGAAATCAGAAAAATATCAGCAGGTTATATTTTTCTTTTACCAGTAACAATGAAACATATAATAGGCATTGCCTATGGTAGCATCCGCTTTCCCCTCCCGCAGACACAACCCAAGTTACATTATGCAGCATTTCAGAATTCAAAGGGGGCTTGGGGTTCATTTTACACACCTTCTAGCTTTCTGAAAATAGGCAGTGCATGTACTAACCAGGATGTTGTGCCCTTGGAGACATTCTAGGAACTCAAAAGTACTATTTCTCATATTTTCAATATCAAAAAAGAAGACATTCGATATTGAAATATTCAATATTTTCTTCTAAGGGGGGATATTTCAATACACAATAATCGAGTATCCTCTGTATTGTAAGTAAAGGGGATAAGATAGATAAGACACTGATAATCCCTCTGATATTTCATGCTCTGATATCGGAAAAAGACACTTAGGTAACTACAAATCATTGTGTACAACACTAATAGAGGCATGATTAGTTATAATGCACCAAACACTGATTTCTTAGACGCAATGATATGCTGATGACCAATTCTGTTTAAACAAAGAAGGGCTTCAGAAAGGAAGTAGCATTTCAGTTTGTTCTTTTTATTTTAAGATTCTTTGAAAGGCAGAGTTAGAGATGGAGACAGGCACACAGGGCTTGTGAAAGCGCTTCATTTGCTGATTCACTCCCCAAATGGTTATCTTCTGCTGCTTTCTGATGCACATTAGCAAGGTGCTCACACAGCAGCCAGAACTGGTGGCCACATGGCATGAAGGCAACATCACAGTAGCTTAACCCACAATGCCACAAAACTGGAACCTCAAATACTTTGTGAAGAATCATGGATTTGACTAGGCCAAAAGAGAAAGTTGAAAAGACTTCTTCAGGAAGAAGTGATTTGTATAGATGTTAGCCATATGAAAAGGGAGTGGTTATAGGAAAGTCACATGTTTGGAATAAAGGGTGCAGGCACACAGAGATGGTGGGTTCTTCACCATGGCATTCTTGCCATATGCTTTCATCCTCACCACCCCAGTACTGCTAGCCTAATTTTCAGTTGTCAGCGTCTGCATTTCTTTGACTGTTTTCTGTTCATTAAATTGACCCTTACCTATCTGTGTAGCAGGCCAGAACTTCTGAGAAATTACCAATGTTACCCTCTCTACCTCTCTCTCAATCCTAACCAATGATTCTCAGATTTTCGTATAGAAACCCACCAGCAAATGAGATAATTGTTGAGGTGCATATTCTAAACTGGGTTCTGGAGCTTCTCCAGGAAGCTAGCTGCTTGAGTGAAAAGTGAGTTAAAGATGTTCCATTTCCCTGGCTCCCTTCACAGCCTTATTTCATTTTCTATATCTGTTGACCATACTGTTTTCTGCTTTCATCTCCCAAATAAAGCAGGTGTGCTTGGTTTCTTGTCTAAGGTAACCAAAGTGGCAAGTGACAAATTCAGATGTATATTTTAGAAACAGACCCCATATGTTTGCATGCAAGACAGATTGCACAGAGAAGACACCAGCAAGGACAGACCCTTGAGGGAGGTGCAGTCAAACCCATCTGGGTTACTTGTGTGCAGTAATGACTTAGGTGGCAAT